AAACCTGAATATGATTTTAAATAAGAATATCATTAAAAATTAGTCATAACTTGTAAAAAAATTTACCACTTGCTCGGAAAATTCATATCAACTAACAACAAATAATGCAGATTTTTTTTACTTTCTGAGGTGTCGTCCCGGACGAAAATAAAAAAGTTATTGAATTTTATTCTCAGACACAAATCTAGACTCAATTAGTTTTTAATATAAGTTATCATTACTTATCCTTATTTACTTGTTAAAACAATTTTCAATTGGGACAGAAAAAAAAAAAAAAAAAAATTGTTTTAAATCGCGTGACACTTGAAAACGATAAGATTGCGATTCCTCGAGTTTTGACGGACATGTACATCTTGATTGCCGATTTCTCAAGATTACAATGTATCGATACCCGATTCTTAAGAACTTACGCACCAAAATCATATAATATAACACAATATCGATACTTGCAAGAACTGAGCCCCTTGGGAGAATCCAATGGCGTTGAAGCCGTCGCTCAACATTTTGTCATTTTCCAACTCCTCGCACACCTCCCGGACTTGATCGTTAACGTTTTTGAAGTAGCTGTTCTCGACATCCTAAATCACATTACGCACGAAAATCCATACGTTAAGGTTTGGCTTACACTGTATGAAAAATAAATAAAGAAAAATTGCGAACCTTCACGAGACTGTCGCCGATTTTAACGGACTTGACGTAAACCCCCGGCAAGTGCTCCTCCAGGATGGTCCTTATCTGGCCCAGGCTGAAGGAGAAGCAGCAACTGTCTCCTGTATCGTGTTGTGAATTATCATAATGTCATAAAATAACTAATAAAAAAACTAATGTTAAAAAAAAAAAGAAAAAAAAAAAGGTCGACGCGCCCAAAAGAAAGTAGATACAATTGTATGGTGTTGCGTGTACAACCACGTTATATAAATATATAGATCACGTTGATGGACTTTCAGTTTCTATTGCGTGCGAGTAAAAAGAATCGCAGTGACAAGGAGCGACTCACCCATGCCGTGCCATAGAACGACGGGAACGGGAGACTCGGCGACGACCCCACTGTAGACAATAGTGGCCATTATTGTGGCCATTAGGCAAAACACACGTCGGCTACGCGTTGCCATTGTTTCCCCTGCCGGAAGATTATTATTCCGGGTTTTTTTAACTTTTGAGACTTTAGGCAATTACAGGTGTAATTGACCGGGGCACTTTTTAGCCGTACAATCGAGTGTTGTTTTGGCGTTTTCGCAGTGCCAGAGCGAGCAGACGCCACTGGGCTACTGCGGGGAGCTCAGCTGATCCGTGGGCTGGACACACACCGCGAGGTAAAAGTGTGTAAGTGTATACATTATACCAACACTCTTCCTCCGTGTTAATGCGTGTACATGTATAGCGGGAGGAGGACTCCCAGAACCGCGTGCCGGTTCCAGGGCGAACTATATAGAGACGTTTGCCGCGACGTCGATAAGTGCGGGATTTACCGGATGGTTTGCACGTGTGGGCTTTTTCCTTTTTCGTGACAATAATTTTGGGAGCTTGAAATGATTGTGGGATTTGCAATGAATTCGAATGGTGGAATAAAAAGCTCCATTGTTTATGTTTCTAGTTAGTATTATGTGTCATATTTTTCAAAATTGTACTCAAACGATCAGCGGTGCGCTTTGCTCGAGTGGATGTGACTGATCTGGAATAAATTAAAATCTCGTGGTCAATCTGAAAAAAAAAAGTCCAAGGAAAATGATCAAATGTCAACTTACGATGCAGCCGATGATTGAAATCGGGTTGAGCGCAAATGGTCCCTAAACGTCCCTTGCCTCGGAGACGCATCCCTTGGCCCTCGACGATGCGTAGTACGTCTTCAACAGCCCCAGCAAGAAACGTGCCATCTGATCAACAAAACGATATTTTTTTCCGATTTCTCCGTTGAATTGAATTATATTTTCGTACCGACAAATCTTGGGCTGCGTAATAGGCTCGAACTCCGCGTTGACGCCTAGAAGGAAGACGAAAAGCGCTTGAGCGCAGAGTGAGGTGAAAAAATTACTTGTTGACATTGCCGATGTATAGCTCTCGAGGGAATCACGAAATTAATGCGAGACGTTTTGCAACCGTGGAAACGTATCTTTTTCTTGAGTCACGTTTTGTGTTTGAAATATATTTTTTTTTTTTATTTTAGGAATTGTATGTATATAAAAAGAATTTAACTTCACCAAAATGGTGCGTAATGCGTAATTTTATTTATTTTTAATTTTTTTATTTTCCAAGTTTCCAATGATTTCTAATGGTGTCTCTCGACCTTTCACCGGATGTCCGTATATCCTTAACAATTTCGACGATCCCTCATGCGAGACAAAAATTACTCGCGGAAGCGAAATGACGCATCGCTCGTTGAAAGTCCGGTTTTTTGTATTTTGCCACATATCATCGATGGATATTGGCGTTTGATGTGCGCGGCCAAGGCGTGTCGAGTGGTGTTATCGTCAAACTGGAAGCTTGTGGAATATATAATGAGGTGTGTAGGAATGTATGGAGAAAAAAAAACAAAAAAGAACAAATAACAAACCCAAAGCACGTTTTTTATTGCCAAAGTGACTCAATAGTCGGGTATGTCGACAGTACTCGGTATTGTCGATTTTATCAACTACATTTCGAGAAGACGGCAAAAAGTGTACTAACATCGGTAGACTTGGGCACGGATATTTTTTCAATTTTCTTCAGAGTATAATTTTTTTATGTGTTTTATCTACTAAAAAAAATTTTTTTTTATAGCTGTTTTCAACGTTATTTTTTCCAAAAAAACAAAAAAAAAAAAAAAAAGAAGAAGAAATAGTCAAAGTATATTTAAAAAAGTATTACAATATTTTGATTTCAATATTTAACAATAAAATTAAATATCTGCAATGTAGATTTTTTTTTTCCTCAGAATTGTCACACGATGGGTGATTAATAAAACATTTTTTCAACAAAAAGAATGCGTTGTATGCAGTAGAAAAAAACTTTCTTTGCACATGTTTGAAAATCTCTAAAATAATTGTGGCGAAATCTGGCAACGAAAAAATGTTTGATCTGAAAAATAAAACTGTGGGATAAAATGGTTGTACTTAAACGGGATGAAAGAAAGTCGTTTTGAAATTTTCGCCACAAATCGATTGAGCTGCGACAAAAGCTAGCCTGATATTTTTACCTTCTATCATCAACACGTTCTGGTTATCGTTGCTGACGCGTCATTTCGAGACATACGATCCTTTCATTGATAAGACATAACGTATATCCAGCGCAGATTTTATTGTGCTCCGATGTATTTTGCCGAACCGAGTACATTAGTCATTTAATCGTTACGCCTATGGTTGAAGTCATCATTATTTCAATCATCGTAATTTAATTATTTATTTGAAAAACAATTTTTTTATTAACTTTTTAAGACGAAATATTTTTTAATATTTGAAACAAGTTAATGCCATGATGAAAATTTAAACTAAAAGTTCAGTCTTTGCATGAAAAAAGGGTTTATTAATAATAAATTTTACATTAATTCGTAGACTACTAGGATTAAATATATTTATTTTCAATGTTTATTTTCTACAATTACGGGGTTAAAAAAATTTCTGTGTTATATTCGAATCACATAATATTACAATAAATTAGTACAGCTTATGCATTAAAAATAAAAGTATAGTAGCAAAATATTATTATAAAACAAAACTTAATACGTATGGTTCGGCTTAAGTACGAAATTCACAGCAACTAATAGGTGAGCGTGACGAAAGCAAACTCCGCAAAAAAAAAAGAAAAAATGAAAAAAAAGATAAAGGACGCAAGATATTTTTCGAGTGCACTCTCAGATCGCGTAATCGTCGTATACATATTATATTTACACTTAAGATTTAAAAAGATAAGCAGTAAGCGAACAAACTTTCGACGTCACAAGATACACATGTATGAATATGTGCGACATATATTTTTTTCCTTTTTTCCCTGACAAACACGCACGACAACAGCTCAAAAAGCTGTATGTAAATGTACAAAAGAAGAAAGAAGAAGAAAAAAAAAATATGCAAAGGAAAAACAAAGATTAGATTAATCGCTGGTGCATTTACACTTGAGCCTCTTGGCGCCACCGCGTCATAGCGCCGTCTGTGTGACGACACGACCACCCCTCCATCCCTTTCTAGCGCATTACACTCCTTGGAATAGTTATTAAAAAGATTTTTTTTTTCCAATTTAATTTTTTCAAAATAGCGCAAAACTATTGAAAGATTATCTACTTGAAAAAAAAAAATTTCCCTTCACTCAGTCCTAAAAATTACACTGAGAGAAAAAAAACAATTAAACTTATAGAGAAATTCCAGAAAAAATTACCATTCTGCACTGTAAATCGAATACAAGCTGGTAAAAGAGGAAATAATTATTATTTTTAAATGTAAGAATTTCAATGCGGTAAAGTAAAATTTATTAATCGATCCTTGAAAGGTTTACTGTTCCAGTATGGAAATTTTTCTGTTCTAAATATAATTTTTACCATCCAAACTACAATTTTTACTATTGAAAATAATAAATTTTCCCTTTTTAGCCAACTTTCATCCCGATTTACTGAGAAAAATGGTAATTTTTGCTGGAATGTCCCTATAATTTTTATTGTCTCAGTGTATAATAATTAATAAGAAAAAAAAAGTGACTTTATCCTCTTTGATTTGAGGAATCAGTAAAATATATGTACATGAAAACACTCGCAATCGATGCACCCACATTTATAATCGTTCGAAGGGAGGCAAAATCACGAATTCAATCGGATCAAGAGAGAGAGAAGCATTTCGTTAGAATCGCCACTTCCATCTGAAATGTATATCACAAATTTGAAGGAAAAAAAAAAAAAAAAAAAAAAAATGAATACCCCGCGTTATCACAGATTATAGCCACGATTAAGCTTTCCACGACCCACGAAACCTCAAAACTTGGCGTGCTCGTCGATCCAGTCCCTGTAGTGCGCGATCTCGGTAAAAACAGCTGGGAGAGTCGAGCCCGCGCACCCAAAGCCCCACGCTGCCATGCCCACGAGCCTACTGCCCAGTGCCAACGGCCCGCCCTCGTCACCCCGGCACAACTGCCGCCCCGGACCCCCTGCGCAGAACTGCCCATCCGACAACTCCGAGCCACAACTCCCCCGCTCCAGCACTGCCAGCCGCGCAACCTGCATCTGCAGCGACAACTCCCCCGTGCCCGGATCGCCCCAGCCCGTAAGCCTCGCCTCTACCCCCGAGGGCGCTCCCTCGCTCTGGTTGAACAGCCGCGCCGGCTGGCACTCCTCGTCAAAGTTGAAGGGCTCGGCCACCCGCACGACCGCCACGTCGAAGCTCGTGGGCCGGGCCGTCGCTCCGTCGGTCAGGTTGTACTTCTCGTGGAGGACGATCTTGTCGACCTGGTGGACGAAGCCGCCCTGGCCGCGGAGGGACGTGCCCGCGCGGATGCTCAACTCGAGGGTCTGGGCCGAGTGGGCGCGCGAGGCGGTTGTGAGGACGTAGCGGCTGTTGAGGATGGCCCCGCTGCCCGCAAAGTGCCCCAGCTTCTCTATCGACACCATGTACGGGTAGTCGCGTATCACGGCGTTCTCGCTGCCTAGCACCCGGCCCAGGGGCTTTTTCCCCAACCTCGGGTTACCTGGAAAACACACACACGCATACATATCTTGACTTGACAACAAGTGATTTCTGCGTAAGAATTTGAATTTGTTTCGTACAGAGTAAGGAGTGAGAGACGAGCTCCTGCACATAGACTTTACAACGCGATAGAATTACAATTGCATAAATGTATAAATGAGATTAAAGGCAAAAGAATGCAACACGATCTTGGTGCGAGAGATACAAATTCAAGAGAAATTACTAAATTCACTGAGCTGCACCCGTAGCACGGTAATTTTTTTTTTTTTTTTTTTTTTTTTTTTTTCTCTCGGTGTGCGTATAGACTTGGTACTTACCTCTAGTCACGAGGATATACGTCACAAGGACCAAGAGAACGAGGATCGCGTAGGAGGAGCGGCTCGTCGTCATCTTGGTTGCGGTTGTTAAAGACGCGCGATACTTGTTTCGAAGTACACCTTGCGCGGACACTTGTTGTTCAACTGCGCGTGCACTACGCGTTTATCTCGTTGTCAATGTAGAGCTGGCGCTCTTTCTCCCTCTCTCCCTTTTATACTGTAACAAGTTATTTATTTTTCTTTTTTTTTTTTTTTTTTTCATACCAAAAGAGATGTGCGAGCGATAAGGTGCACCGATACCGCCGATCGTGGGATTATCGGTAAGCTCCCCTGCTCGTGTGTGTACAGCGTATACGCAAATACGTCACGTCTATTATCTACTCGCGGGTACAGGCCGATATCTGTGGCGATTGACGTTGTAATCGATCGATTGTTGTGATTGATGATGGTGTTATATTTAATGAGAAATCGGTACACTTTTTCGGAGTGTCGCGTGTGGTGTATGTAAACGATTTTTTTTTCCCCATAGGTAATTGGGACGCGAGGGTGAACAATTTTTCTTTCGTCAACTGAACCAACGTCATGGTGTTTTAAGAAATTATTAGATCCATGTGATGCCATTGCAAAAGAAAAAATATATACACCAAGAATAATTACCGATGAAGCACGATTTGCGAGAGTTGGTTTCTTTTTCGCGGATTTTTGTTTTTATCGGTCAATACCAGTTGATATGAAGAGTTGATCATCGCGATCTTTGGGTGCTGCAAAGTACTTATTTTTCGTGGTCTAGAAAAGAACCGATTCTTGCATCATCTCCGAAGCTCCGGTGTGCATCGTTCCTAAAGCGCCGATTTGTTATCGCGTCTGAGAAATCGCGCGGTCAGTTTTCACGAAATCCATTACATCACCTACGAATATACACACTTTGTATTTATAAATGTACGGGTTCAACGAATACCGAATTATGTCAAATTTCTTGCGTTTCTTCTTCTGATACATGCGCTTATCTGTATGAGGATGTCGAATGAATTTTAAAACTATGCAATATTTAATCCTTTTTATTATCAAGATAAATTTTTTTTTTGTCCCATACCCCCATTCGTCGTTTATTCTTACCCATCTTCCAATCACCCGCTATATTTTTTACACAAATTGACCTCTTGTAAATTGTGACACAGAAAATCAATTGTTTTCCAACACTCGTCCGGATCATGGTGTTATTTATTTTCCTATATCAAGAGTTTTTGTGCAAAATATTTCGCAAATTGGCACGACGCAAAAGTTCTTTATGATTCTTTTTTTTAATAAATCAATGGATTCCCGTATTGACAAGTACTAATAAATAATTATATACTCAAAGCCTCGAATGGTTGATTAATCATTACTTTTTTCTCCATCCATATGTATAACGTAGTTTTACTCCATAAACCGACCTCACCTTGTTCATACTCTAGCAAGCCGATAACATCGAGAAAATCTTCTGTTACCCTTACACAAATCCAAACGCAATCGCAATCGATCCACTGGGCTCCGATTACTCATGTATAACTTACGTGATATTATACAAGCTCTATTATGTCGGTTACAACTTTAAGTTCCTAAGTATATTTTTATTGAGGCTTCGTACATTAATATTTATACAGGTGTAAGTATACATTGATGCACAATACATCACCCCCACGATTATCGTTTTAGTGTTGATTTAATTAATTGGACTTTGTATTTTTTTACATTAGCCAGCACAATCATAGTGATTGAATCAAATTTTTCATTGGCAGTTTGAGTATATATTTGCCAAAACACAAATACAATTAAAATTATATTACACACTTAAATCCATTACATATATATATACATATGATATATACATATCAAATTAATGGAGTATAAAGGCCACAATCATCGTCAGTTTATTATATTGCTACCGCCACCTTTAGAAATCCCACGAAACTATTGATTAATTAATTGCTGATAAGTTAGTTTGTGATATTGATATATATATTGTATTTACGATGATGAAGTACTGAGATACATTTTGGTGACGATTGCGAAAAACAACCATTGTTGTACTTATCGTTAACTTTCGGTGGGATCGAAAAATGTTGATAATTTTGTATTTTATTCTTTGTTTCGACGCATCGGTGTCGAGTGAAATTCGCATTGTGTACAGTTATATAAAATAAATACAAGATCCTCATTCGCTTATATATATAGTTTGTCACTGCGTGTGTGTGAGATTAATAACCGATATACACGTATGAGTTTGTAAGTTACTTTTGTAAATAAGTTTGAATCCGTTGAAATGTATTACAAATAATCGAAAAATTTCTTTCCACGTGTTCGACAAAAGTACGGGTGATTTTGGCATCGAGTGTACTACGAGTATACAATTTTTGTTTCGTATAGGTACATACACGAGAGAAATAAAACATAAACATTGTTCGTTTTTAAAAGTATTTATTTTAATCCATCAAATAACATTATGTAAGAAAATTTATAAAAACATCCGAGTGTTACAGATCATAAAATATTAACGATTTAACTGTTATATTTTTTAAATAATAACTCATATAATGAATATAACTAGTTGTACTTCTTTGGGTGTATACTGTGGGTGTTCAAAATTTGTGAATAAATCAAAAGGAAATTTAAAATTTATATTCATTTATTTGGACTGAACTTAAAAAAACAGCTAAATTTTTTAATATTCGTTGACATGAAAAATTTTTAATTTTCGTATCATATAGAATCGCGTTTCGTAAAATAATCGAAAACATTGGGATTGCAGTCCCTCGATATCGTAACATCAAAAGTAAACAATAAATATTACGAGCTGAAGGGCAAAGGTAACACTTGGCAATACAAAATATTCACGCAGATTTTCAATCTGTTTCGCTCAAGTTTCCATCGATTGTGTACACACACCCTACTCGTAAACTTCAACGCATACTTTGAGCCAAACGTTTTTTATTCTTTACACATTTCCTTGCAAATGGCCACCAAATCGTGCACAGCAAATTTTCGAGCCACATCCTTCAGTATTCGGAACGATTTTTTGCCATAATCCTTGACATCCTCGATTTTACCGGTGTACATATACTTGAGCACATCGACCAACACATCCGAGTCCACGTCCGTTATCTCAATCGGCTTGTTTTGAATTTCCTTCTCCACCGCGTCTTCGAACATCACCGCGAACACCGCACTCTTGTTGGCCAGCACCAATCTGTGCAACTTCAATGTCGAGCCATCGATAACAAGTGTCACGTCGCTGTAGTTACCATAATAATACAACATTTCGAAGTCAAAGCCGAAATGGTTTACCGTCTTGGCCCATGTCTCACACGGCCCTACCCCCTCGCCCGACTCCTCGTCGGGCCAAATTTCAATCAGCACTCGGAGATCCTTCTTAACTTCGGACTTGACGGAGCACATGCTTGTAAGCTGGTCGATTCCGCAAGACATCAGTGGGCCCAAAATGGCCCTTTGCATTTTGGTTGTGCTGATGACGACGTTTTGGTCGTTGATAAAAGAGCCAACGTACCTGATTTTGTTGGTGATTTCGTAGTCACGGGATTTTAGGTAAAACGCGAATGAGCCGTCGTTAATGTGGGTGGAGGTATGCTTCAAACTCGAGATTTTCCACGGTAATTGCTTTTGACCCGATTTTCTTTCCATCGGGAAGTTGGATGGCACTTTTGTTGATCGTCCATACAAAAGCCGCGTGTTTGACCGCAATTAATCGTTTAACTTGATTTTTCCACTCCATCGCACCCGCTACTTGTGTATAGGTATATGGATAACAATCGCACGGACAATGAAACGTGCAGTTATTCCGTCAGAGTACGATCGACGACTGATTTACCTTGGGTGGGTCCCCAAAAACTACACAGTATACTTACGGCTGTAGCGGTGATTTAGTATATACAAACAACCCTCCCTCCCAAAGTTTGACCTTTCTATCTGCATACATCAGGGTGAATTGTAACTATACGCACCCAATACTTTGATTCGTTGTTTATGATTTGTGTGTGAAAACGTTTTGAATTTACTCACCATCGTATAGCACGTTTTACCAGAGAGGCCATTTTATTCGAACTTCTGTCTATACTTGATTGGTCTTGGGACCAGACTCGCGAGCACAACTCTTTTAACGATTTTCGATTTTCGAAACCAAATATTTCGTTTATCACTTATGACAATGCAATATTAAGATGAGTATACATTATGTACGTTAAATTTTACTGTCAAAAATATTTCGAAACCCAATTTTTTTGGTACCTTCTTTGACTCTTTTTTTTTTTCTTTTAATGTGAGTATGGCATTATTTTGCCGGCTAAAATTTTCTTAAGTATTGTGTTATAAGTATGGTAGGATGAAAAAAATTTTATTAATCACTTCCTTGTAAGTTCAACCGCGAAAAAACCTTGCGTTAGCTTAAAAATCTATACGATTATGTACGATTATATACGAAAATAAATACGATTATATATAAATTAATCAAACAAACANTTTTTTTTTTTTTTTTTTTTTTTTTTTTTTTTTTTTTTTTTAGCTCTTTATGGAATGTTGGTTCGTTCGATTTATGTTAATTCTCACGTTGAAATAAAATAAATTGAATTGCTAGTCGATTGGTTTATAATATGTTGGATTTAGCTGGTTTTGGATGAACACTTTCACAAATTATACGTTTGATCGGTATTAGAGTAGCTCGACGATTTGAGTCGTTTGCTGTACCAATAATAATAATAATAAGAATAAATAAAAAAAATAGATGTGTGGAGTGTGAAATTGAACTGGCTAACGTAGTATGGATTCAACTTATTAATAGCTAATAAATAAACATCGCCACAAGCGTGTAAATAATACATACTTCAGTAATTCCTTACTGATTTCAACGATTTCCCTTCAACAGTGTAGACATAGTTTCATGTTGTATCGCGTTAAAAAGAAAAACGTATTCCCGCACACATGAATTCACACCGCAAACGCTCTTCCTCGACTTCCTCGGACACAAACACGCGCGTTTCTCTAAAAGTATCTGATAATGGCCTTGGCACTAGCAGTAGAGCCCATTGCCCTGTCTCTCGACCACGTGCTTCCTCACGTACTGCGCGGCCTTGTCCGAGAGCCCGAGACCCGGGACCTGGCGCTCGTACTCCACCGCCGTGACGACCCCGGCCAGGTACCCGTTCAGCTTTGCGGCCAGTGGCGAGGTGCGCAGCTGCTCCCCCGACTTGACACCGATCGCTTCCATGAGCCAGGCGTGACCTTGCAACCGGTACTTTTGGTGGTAGCTGAGAAAAACAGGACATTTTTTTCGATATTAAATCGGTAGGGGTATCGGTTCTTTTCATGAGAATCGGTACATGATATGGTTACAATGCGAGCTAAAATTTTCTTGAAGTTTACTTCGTTTATCTCGTTGAAAAAAAAAGTTTGCCTTCAATTGCTTGTTTTTTCATCAGTGTCGTGTTGTTGTATCCACATTTGTATTTTATCGGGGTAAAAAAAAAAAAAAACACAGATTTCATTAAAGCCAGTAAATACCCGATAAAAATGCTTATGCAAATCCGTTTGTTGACAAAAGTGTGTACTTGATTTCGCGAAATGCGCATCGAGAAAAATATGCCGGTTGAAAAATTAATAATAACACTTACTCTTCGGCGGGATAAAATCTCTCAAAGGCCCTGATCTCCGTGCTGAATTTCTCGTTCTTCTCGTGCTGCTGGCGATCGCGCGATTTTTCCGCGGTTATCCTCTGTTCCTCGTCGTGGTACAAAATCAACGACATGTACTGAAAACGAAGAGCAACAGAGTGAAAAAAAAACAAAAAAAAAAACAGCAACAATTTGTGGTAAAGAGAAAAGAAAACGGATCGGTAAAATTCTCACCTGTCGCTTCGTGCGCGACGTCAAGCTGTACTCGTGGTTGTTCCAGAACAAGTCCAGCAGCTGCGTGTACGAGACCACTTCGGGGTTGTACTCGATATCGACCACCTCGGTGTGATCGCCGCTGGACGAGAAATTTTTTTTAAAAATAAAATAACAAAACGCAATTAAATCAGGTGAGATCCACTTACATATTCTTGTAGGTGGGAGTGTTGCTGGTGCCGCCCGCGTAGCCGACGCTGGTGCGGATGACTCCAAGGGTCGCCCCAAACAACGAGTCGCTGGCCCAGAAACAGCCCATGCCGAAGGTGGCGCGCTTGCCCTCAACCGAATCGACTTGGCCCGGCATTTTTGCCTGTAAATATCAAAGGGTACGCTTTTTTTTTTTTTTTTTTTTTTTTTTTTTTTTTTTTTTTTTTTTTTT